GGTATAACCTGATTCTGAATTGGTAGTCATGGTTTCTGTTTATTGATAAGTACATTTTTAATTTATCATTTTAGGTATATTAATGTATAAAAATATATAACTGACAGTGCAAATCCATACTATTTTATAATTTTATGAAATATACACCATATTTAGTTCATTTAAAACAATTTATAATAATTAATATGTTGAAATGAACACACTGTATCTCAAGACACAACACCGAGAAATAGCATAGAAAATTTTCATGAAATTATAATGTAGAATAAAATAAAGACATAAAGTACTTTTAAAGTAAAATAAAAAGCTCATTTCATAGTTATTTCATATAAACCTAAAACATTATCAGTCAAAATTTTAAATAATACGTTTTAATGATAAGCATGTCAAGAAAATAAATTTTGGGTACGAAGTAGAAGCATTAAAGTAAAAGAAAATGCCACAAGAAGGGCCAATTTAGAGATTTTATGAGTAAATTAATGTTAAATAATCTAGTACAAAAGAAAGTTCAAATATTATAACATCAGAAACACATAGGCTAGAAGTTTCTTAAAAAAAAATTTGTCATGCAAAATATCATATAAAAATTTCTTGTAAATTAGTATTAAGACGTATAAAATCTACTACGCAGTTATAAAATATAAATTACGCCGTAAGTTAATTAAAATCAAATTAATCGCAATATGCTGGAGAAATTGCGCAGTTAGAAAATGATAACAGGGATACGTGCAACCAATGGCAATAGGCCAAATAAGTGAATTTACCTGGTACCGGAAAAAACAAAAAAACATCGAGAGAAGTCAACAAGCTGAGAGAGTGGCGAAAGGAGATTCTAGAGACTGGTGAGAGGGGCATGTTGTTCTGTGGCTCCCCAAACAACATCAAAAACACCAGGAAGCACTCTACACAGACCCAACAGCCATCTTCAACGCACGAGAATAGAAGAAAACGACAACAATAAAGTGAGGTTATAGAGACGACCGCAAATTGCCAGGCAGAACGAAACCAAGTAAGTCCAGTTGCATAAGAGTTTTCTCCATGCCATAAAGTGTTGCAAATTCGAACTATAAAAGCTATTTGTGAAATACAAAACCCGTTTCAAACTATAAACAATGTCAGTGATTAAAATTTAAATTGACATTTTTGAACATTCTATAATTTAAGTATTAGTTTAATTTCAAATGTTCGTAGTATAAGTTGATTTGTTTTGAAAAACGTTTAAAATAATGATAATTGGTTAACCAAACATTTTCTCAATTGAGGCGGTTAGAAGTAAAGGGGTGTAAGTGACTTTTTCGCAAAGATTGAGTTAAGTACATAAATTCATTCATGGAACATCAATTTATTTGGTGGCAAAGGGATATAAATGAATTCATTCCGAGAGGCGACATCTATCCATAGAAAAAAAAGTACTTTTTGAAATCTGCAAATAGTTTGGTGACAATGGGATATGTATATACTTACATCCCTTTGCCACTAAGAATTTATATCGATTAGTGGTTTAACAGATGAGATCTGCTTATATGTGCAGATAATTTTAGTCGATATTATTACTGTTTTTGTCGAGTTTAATATTCAAATCAGTGCAACAGATGGTAAGTCTGTAAAAGTAAGCCTTGTTTTGTTTTAAGTTGAAGTTTTTAGGTTAAATATTGAAGTTTTGTACTTGTATAATTTCATGCTGAAAACACTATTTTTTTATAGATATAGAATATTATTGTAATACATACTTTCACGACATTTTAAGTTAAAAAAAGTCGCTTGTTATTCTATTTTCTTTTTTATTTTATCGAATTTTATCAAAATTTTCTTGAAACCTCAAGTGGAAATAAATTTACTAAGACTTTTAGGATTGTTATTATTGATTTTTTTTACAGAACCCATTGATGATAGCGATTTAGATCGCGACTATCATCCAGAAGAATCTACATCTGAAGCAGAGTCGAGCGACGTAGGTGACCAACAGACACAAAGAAGCAGGAAAAAGGTCAGAAAAGAGTCATTATGGACACGGAACAAAGCCAAGGAATTCAGGAACAGTGGTAGCGAATATATTGGCCATAGAAAAGTGCCAAAACCAGCTAAAGTATTTCAACAGCTGGTAGATCATCGTGTCGATATGAATGTAATACATTTACGGATGAAGATCGTCAACAAATATTCAGAGTCTATTGGAATTTGGGATCATGGAGTCTTCAAACAGCATTTCTTACCGCTTGTATGGAAACACATGTACCTTCAAAAAGGAGAGTAGAAGTTCAGTCACTCAAACAGGTTTGCGTCAAAATAAAATTACAGGGAAAAAGAGTTTGTAAGCTCTTTCTTTTAAAAACCTTAAACATAAGTCAAAAACGATACGACAATGTTTTGAAAAAAAGAAAACCTACAGGTGTAGCACCAACTGATCAACGTGGTAGACATACTCCAGAAAATAAGGTTTCTGAAAATGATATTGCTATAATAAAGAGTCATATTCAGTCATTTCCAAAATACTCAAGCCATTATTCACAAATAAAAAATCCACAGACGAAATATCAGAAGGGCGAACTGAACATCCACAAAATGTATGACCTATATATGCAGTATTGTCAGGATAATCAAATTCAAAATCCTGTTAAGGAGAGTTTCTATAGGTTCATTTTCAACACCCAATTTAATCTTAGTTTTAAACGACCTCACACTGATACGTGTACAACATGTGATACACTTCAAAATAAGATCAACAACGAAGTTAATCCTGAGGTAGTGAGATTCAGAAAGAAGTTCATTTACGTAAAGCTGAAAAGGCCAGATCTGCTAAGGATGATGCTAAGAAATTAGCCAAGGATAATCCTAATGTTGTAAAAGCAATATGTTTCGATCTTGAAAAAACTCTCCCCACACCTGTATTAACCTGCAGTAAGGTTTACTATTTGCGACAACTGTGGACTTATAATTTTGCAGTACATGATCTGGCAAATAATCACGCATCAATGTTTATGTGGCACGAGGGTGAAGCATCCAGGGGATCCCAAGAAATTGGGTCGTGCTTACTTAGATATGTTCAGCAACTTCCCAATTCAATAGAACATATTATTGCATTTAGTGATAATGCAGGCGTACAAAACAAAAATGGCAACATTATAAAATTCTGGAGGCATATTGTTCAGACAACATCAATTCGTAGAGTTGACCACAAATTTTTGATTTCTGGTCTGGTCATGGAGTGCGATCAAGACTTTGGAGTCATCGAAAAGTCTAAGAAAAAAAACCAATACATTTTTGTTCCAGATGACTGGACCAACATAGTTGCCCACGCAAGTAGGAAGTTTACTGTTGTGCGAATGACAAATGAACATTTTTTGTCAGTCGAAACAATGAAAAAAGACATAAGAGACAGTATTCCAGGGATACGTAATATTCAATGGTTCCGATTAGAAAAAGACAAACCCCATATTCGTTTGTATAAGAACACCATGAATGAGGATATGGATTTTACGGAAATTGATCTTAGAAAACAGAAGAAAGGTCGTCCACCTGCACGTTTTGAACTTACCTCTTTATATCCCGAATCACCACCTATAAAAACCAAGAAGTACGAAAACCTTCAACAACTCCTTCAATTTATTCCCCCCGTTTATCATAACTTTTATTCATCATTAAAACACCAAGGAAGTACAAGAAATGTTGACTCAATTTCAAATAATGAAACCGATAACAGAGGAAGAGATACCGACACCATCGAGAACTACATTGTTCCAGAAAATTCTGAAGATATTGTAGCTGAATGGGAGTCTGATGATGAGTGAAAATGACACAATGATATTTTGCTACATTAAAACAATATTTATTTTCATCAATAAAAATATATTTTTGTTGCACGCATTTGTTTTTTCTTGCAATAATATAATCATAGACAGGGATGAAATATGGTAGTTGTCATTTTTACTTCCTTAAAAAAAAGTTCTGTTTTCATCCATGTTAATAACCATAACTAAAACTGAGTACTAAGTACAAGTGTTAATTTAAAATAGAAAACTGTGTTATTATTAAGTGGAGAAGAGATATAAGTTCCATACTTAGAAGCAGAGGGTTATAAGCGATACATCTCTTTGCAAAACACTCTGTAATTTCAAAACCAATAGGTGCAATTTATTAAATCTTTGAAAATAATCATAAAAATATATTAGAAAGTGAAATTCTTTTATCTCGTTAATTGTCAATTGCCCGTGATTTTTTTAAAGATGTTTAATTTTATTCCTCTTTTTCTCAAAATCGTAAAAGTTGCACTTACACCTCTTTGCTTCTAACCGCCTCAATTATGATAGGTAGAATAAGGCATTTCTCAGAAAATTATTCATGTAAAAGTATATAAAAAAATATTCTAGTTTCTGTGTTCATAAAAATATTGTTCGAAATTGAAAGATAAATAAGTAATAAATGTCATCTTGTGTAAATATTTCCAATTTTGCTTTTATTCAATGTTTCTTACCCAAAATTAAATAGTAAAGGTTAATTAAAAGAGCATAGAACCGCCCCTATGAGGTAAGGACTCATGCTATTGATAAAATAAAGTGTTTTTTCTTGAGGGACAGTGTAGAAAATGAACATTCCTATCTACACTAATAAAATCCTGTCTACACTGTGAACATTATTTATACAAAGTAAAGCTGCCGGAGGCGATGTTAGCAATGATAAGGTAAGAAAGTCTAATTCGTCTATATTTGTCAGTGTTATTATAAAATTTTCTTATCAGAACCTATGCTCAATGGAAAATTAGATATAAACACACCCAAATGACATTTTACATTATAAAAGGCGCCCAAACGGATATTTAATAATTATAAACACACAAAATTTACACACCATCACATAATACAACAACACACAACACCATTACTTACATTACATTACTAATAATACCAAAACAACAACTATAAACAATAAAATATAATAATTGACGCCACCAAAGTGGGGCTCGCTATTTCGTAAAACGTTCAGGTGAAACATAAAGAAGAAAAATGGACCTGAGAAGTGGTAAGAAAACTGGTGAAGGAAGCAGTAACGAAGACTGGGAAGAAGCAGAAGAGAGAACGACGGAAACAAGAAGCGAAGAAAGGGGGGAAACACCTTCAGAAGCACAAGGAAGAAATAGTGAATTAGCTTGTTTAATGGAGATGCTAAAGAACATGGAACAACAGAGAAAAAAAGAACAAGAAGAAAGAGATAAGAAATTAAGAGAAGAGAGACAGAAAGAACAGGAAGAAATCCTCAAAATGGTAGAAGAACAAAGAAAAATGGAAGCAGAAAAAGAACAAAAACTCAGAGAAGAAAGAGATAGGAAATTAAGAGAAGAAAGACACAGGGAAAACCTGGAGATGAAGCAAGATATTAAAGAAAATATGGAGAAGGTTGTAGAAAAGGTGGAGACAAAATTCGAAGAAATACGTCAAGAATTTAAAGAAGAACAAAAGAAATTCCAACAGGAGATAGAAAAAAGAATAGGTACAATGTGTGAAAGACAAGAAATATGGGCAAGAGAAGCGAGACAGAACAAAGAAGAATGCATGAAAAAAATTCAAGAAAATGTGGACATATGCACACATCTTGAAACACAAATGCAAGAGAGGGACAATGCAGTAATCCAAGAAATCGAAAGAATCGATGGGAGAATACAAACCAACCAGGAGAAAATATTACAAATAGAAGAAAACATGAAAAGAAGACAAAATGGAGAAGTTACAGAAAACCAAAAGAAGGAATGGGAGAAGCTAAAAGAAAATTTAGAACAGGAGATAAGGGAAATGAGGAGAAGACAAGAAGAGGCAAATCAGGTGGAAGTTAGGTACATCACCTGCACAAACACAAATACACAAACCAAATTCAATGGAAAAATAAACACACTACACCCAGTTGTATTTTTAAAAACAATACAAACGAAATACAGACACGTCACTGACACAGAACAATTAAAACAACACTTGCGTGAACACTTAGAAGGAGGTAAAGAAAGTGAAATAGAGTCAATGAGAATTTTTGAAGAAATGTTTCTCAACCATTTCTGGGGACATTATGAGCAGAATCTCGTGAGAGACTGTACTTTAGAAAGTATAATGATAAACTTTCGAACAACATGACGAATTATGTTTTACGCCTATTTGCGAATGCTAAACATTTAACTCCGACTTTATCAGAAAGTGATATTGTCCAATATATTTCAAGGCATTTCAAAGACGAAATAGCAGAAAGTCTTGCAATAAATAATATTTGTAGTGTAGATCAGTTATGTAACTATTTGAACAGAATTACCAGACGTACTGCCCGAGTTAATAATAATGAAAATGTTAATAGAAACTTTAATACAAATAACAGGCAGGACAGTCAAAATTCAAATTTTATACGTAACAATAGATCAAATATGCAAAATACAAGAAATTTTAGAACAAACTTTAATATACAAAATACACAACAAGATTACAGGTCAAATAATAACAACAGTTACAATAACACACGTTACAACAACACAAATACACGAAATTATAACAATAATGATTTCAGAAACAGAAATTATAATCAAAACAATAATACACAGTACAATAATCAAAACACACGGTATAACAGATTTGAACAAAATAATAACACAAATTTTAATAACAATTACAGACAAAATAATCAACAAAACACAAATAATCAACATTTTAACAATAATAATCAAAATAATCAAAATTATCGTAGAGAGAGACAAGTGAACTTTCAACAAATTTCTAGACAACCAGCATCACGCAGTCGAGAACGAAATTATAGATACAGTGATGCACATAATACACAAAACCGCACAAGAACACAATCAATGGACAGAGACACAAATTCTATACAACATAATCAAACACACAACAATAATATGCAACAAAATACACAAAATCAAAATGAAACTCAATATAATGACGAACAACAACAAAATTTTCATTAAGCAGCAAATCAAAAGGTAATCTAAACATCTGTAGGTTAGAACATCCCAGGGAATTCATACATGTAGATCATAGAGTGGAAAACAATCTAGAAAAAAATAAACAAATTAATTTAGTATTCATACAATTTAAATATCACGATTTTCAAAATTTAGCATTAATCGATAGTGGTTCAGAAATTTCTTTAATTAGCGAAAAGTTATGTAAACAATTTCCAAATTATCATAACAATGTCATTAAAACATCTCAGATAACACTAGTTGGAGCTAATAATAAAAAACTTTACACGTCAAATAAAATGTTCAATGTAATTTTTGAATTCAATGATATTAAAGTAAATTTACAATTATTTATAGTCCCATTTCTAGAACACGAAGTAGTGATTGGTTCAGATCAATTATCAAAACATAAAATAAAAATAGATTATGAAGTTAAAATTATATGACAGTTGGATAAATTTTGAAAACATGGAAAGTGAGGAAGAATATAAAATATTAGCTAGAGTGAAGAATGTAGGTAAGATAAAATGTAGGCGAATGAATGAGATAGATGTAAAAGGAGGTGATGAAGAATATAATAATATAAATGAATTTATTGAAATAAATAATAATGATAATTTATTAAGGTATGATGAAGATGAAATTATTGATGATGAAAGTGTGATAAAGAATATGAGGAGAGAGTGAGAAAGTTAGTGGGAAAGTATGATAAGTTGATTCAAAAAGAGACTCGAAAAGCTAAGAATTATGTTCATAAGATAGAAGTAAAGAATGTTGAAAATTTTAAATCCAAAAATTATCCAATACCATATAAGTAAGTACAAAAATGATATAAGGAAATAGATAGAAAGTTTAATATCTGATAACATAATTGAACGAAGCACTACACCGTATATAAATCATTTATACAAATGTTACATATAATTACAATCATTATCAAAACACTACCAAGAAAACATACACAACACAAAAACATTAAGGTTTGTTCGAAAAATTTTATTCCAAAGAAAAAATTATTTCAAACAAAGGGGGGAAGTTGAAATGAACACACTGTATCTCAAGACACAACACCGAGAAATAGCATAGAAAATTTTCATGAAATTATAATGTAGAATAAAATAAAGACAAAGTACTTTTAAAGTAAAATAAAAAGCTCATTTCATAGTTATTTCATATATAAACTAAAACATTATCAGTCAAAATTTCAAATAATACGTTTTAATGATAAGCATGTCAAGAAAATAAATTTTGGGTACGAAGTAGAAGCATTAAAGTAAAAGACAATGTCACAAGAAGGGCCAATTTAGAGATTTTATGAGTAAATTAATGTTAAATAATCTAGTACAAAAGAAAGTTCAAATATTATAACATCAGAAACACATAGGCTAGAAGTTTCTTATAAAAAATTTGTCATGCAAAATATCATATAAAAATTTCTTGTAAATTAGTATTAAGACGTATAAAATCTACTACGCAGTTATAAAATATAAATTACGCCGTAAGTTAATTAAAATCAAATTCATCGCAACATGCTGGAGAAATTGCGCAGTTAGAAAATGATAACAGGGATACGAGCAACCAATGGCGAAAGAACAAATCAGTGAATTTACCTGGTACCGGAAAAACAAAAAAACATCGAGAGAAGTCAACAAGCTGAGAGAGAGGCGGAAGGAGATTCTAGAGACTGGTGAGGGGTGCATGTTGTCCTGTGGCTCCCCAAACAACATCAAAAACACCAGGAAGCACTCTACACAGACCCAACAGCCATCTTCAACGCACGAGAATAGCAGAAAACGACAACAATAAAGTGAGGTTATAGAGACGACCGCAAATTGCCAGGCAGAACGAAACCAAGTAAGTCCAGTTGCATAAGAGTTTTCTCCATGCCATAAAGTGTTGCAAATTCGAACTATAAAAGCTATTTGTGAAATACAAAACCCGTTACAAACTATAAACAATGTCAGTGATTAAAGTTTAAATTGACATTTTTGAACATTCTATAATTTAAGTATTAGTTTAATTTCAAATGTTCGTAGTATAAGTTAATTTGTTTGAAAAACGTTTAAAATAATGATAATTGGTTAACCAAACATTTTCTCAATTATGATAGGTAGAATAAGGCATTTCTCAGACAATTATTCATGTAAAAGTATATAAAAAAATATTCTAGTTTCTGTGTTCATAAAAATATTGTTCGAAATTGAAAGATAAATAAGTAATAAATGTCATCTTGTGTAAATATTTCCAATTTTGCTTTTATTCAATGTTTCTTACCCAAAATTAAATAGTAAAGGTTAATTAAAAGAGCATAGAACCGCCCCTATGAGGTAAGGACTCATGCTATTGATAAAATAAAGTGTTTTTTCTTGAGGGACAGTGTAGAAAATGAACATTCCTATCTACACTAATAAAATCCTGTCTACACTGTGAACATTATTTATACAAAGTAAAGCTGCCGGAGGCGATGTTAGCAATGATAAGGTAAGAAAGTCTAGTTCGTCTATGTTTGTCATTATTATTATTAAAATTTCTTATCAGAACCTACACTCAATGGAAAATTAGATATAAATACACCCAAATGACATTTTACATAAAAAAGGCGCCCAAACGGATAATTAATTCTTATACACACACAAAATTTACACACCAGAAACAAAATTAATCACCAAATTAAATAATAATTATAATATAATAAAAATAAATAAATAAATATCAAAATAATAAATACACCACTACCAATCACCAAATTACATAATAATATCTATATACGCGCTTAAATGAGATACAAGCCTGTAACTTCTTTATTTTTTGGTCGATTCAAAAAATTTTTTTTTAGAATGTAGGGTAAAAAAATTCTTAACTGTGATACTGTTGTTTCTATGCACGGCCAACTAGGGGACGCGCTTTTTTGACGTCAAAACAGCTAATTGGTATCAGCAATTTTTTTTCTAAAAAACTGATTACGTATTCTCATTGAGCATCCCTTAAAACGTCTTTTCACCAAGTTTCCTCAAATTCGATGTATGTTCAGGCCAGCACTCCATGATGTCGCACTTAAATGTGATACAAGAGTACTTCTTTACTTTTTGGCCGATTTCAAATATTTAGGTTTAGAATGAAGGGTAAAAAGGTAGGGTCTATCTAACTGTGATACTGCTGTTTTCGTTAAGGCAATACAATACACGGCCAACTAGGAATTCATGAAATGCTCGACTGAAGATGTATCGAATTTGATGAAACTTGGTGATAACACGTTTTAAGGGATGCTGAATGAGAATACGTAATTTGTATTTTGGAAAAAAAATAATAATAGTAATATCAATTAGCTGTTTTGACGTCAAAAAAACGCGTCCTAGTTGCTGTGTATTGCATTAATGAAAACAACAGTACCTACCTATCACAGTTAGATAGTTTTTTACCCTACATTCTAAAAAAATCGACCAAAAAGTAAAGGCTTATATCACATTTAAGCGCGACACCTTGTACAGTATGTCCACGGTTAGAGTGGATAAGAGGGAAAGCTTTTTATTATCAATTTTATGAGAAAAAAAATTTTGCTGATGATTACCATGAAGAACTTTAATTTTACATATATAATCAGAAAATTAACAAAATTAAAAACATTGAAAAATAAATTGGTTTTGTTTTTGATAATACAAAAAAAAAATATTAACATCTTTTCTTTTTAAAGAAAGAAAGTTGTTCATAACTGAAAGTTATGTTATAATTTCGATTTGCGCATGAATAAAGCGGCTTACTTTATAAACGGAAATCAAAAAGTTTTTATTTTTAATAATTTATATTAAGTAATTCTTGATAAAAAAAATTCGCGACTTGTTAATATAAATAGAATTTTAAAAAGAATATACATAATAATGAGAAAATATAAAAAAATGTGTGATATATTTTGTCCAAAAATTGTGTAAAAATTATGTACAAAAGGATAGCTTGTGACTAAATTTTTTTAATAAGAAATAGGTATTCAGTTCACTTCACTTGGAAAATTAGTTGTGGTACTTTAATAACTCTAATATAAACAAACAGAAATTCTGTGGAATAGTGCAGTTTAATAAATATGTAAATAAATAAAGTAATAAAGAAATAAATAGAATACTAAATAAATATTTCACAGCCACAGCACAACAATAAAAGATAACTCAAAAATACACA